TATACACTCCCGATTTTTCTGAAACTGAACTTTCATCTTTGTTATTCTTAATATGTATGCCTGAGTTGTTGTTGATTTTGAAAGCAATATTTACACATTTGTTGTGCAGAAAATCTGAGATATTTGTAGTGGGTTGGCCTAGGTAGGTTAAAGTTCTATAACTTTTATCTTCTTCTCTTTGATTGGGTAAACTTCATTCAAAACTTGGCTGTATAACTTTTTTGATAGAAGAATGTATTAGGCTGCTATCGTAATAATTGTTTCATTATGTTCAGTTCTTTATTGAAATTCGCCTCTGACAATACCACATATATCAGTCTGTGGATTATACTGTTGAAAGCTAGTACTTTGTGCTGATACGGGTGTTGAGTAATAAATTTCGTTTCTATACTATCTTGATTCTACTATCTTCAATTCAAATAAGAACTAATATTCGAAAACGGAAATATCTGAAAAACTGTTCAGGTTAGTTATGGGAAACCTCGAAATGAAATGAAAGATAATTGAATTGTGTATTGTTCAGATCAAAAAATTACATTGTGTTTTATTTGAAATAACAAAGTTATCTTTGTCCGAAATTATAAAAAAGTGACTATGAATTTTGGATGTTCTGCATAATATTGAGAAACCTGTTTCAACCAAAACCTCTCCTATGCTTGGTCAGAATTCAAGGGGATGAATTTCATACTTTTCGATGTTATTTAGTTTCCAATTGTATCAGTAGAATATCATAAAAATTCATTAGCTTTCTTTTAAAGGTTAGTATAGATCAAGTAAACAATATAGTGTAACCTACCTTTCAACAGCTCCCTTTGATAATATAGTTAGGGAGCTAACTAATTTCGTTATTAAATAATCATTTCTGATTATACAAGAATCACAATAACTATCAAAAACACTTCACTAACTTCCTTCGAAAGCTTCTGATGATTCCTTCTCCATATTCTCTGTTTCACTATCACTGTCATCATGTGAATCAATAATGACTTTATTTCCACCTTTAATATGGAAGTTTCCAATCTCCATATAGTCTTTTTCAACTAAAACTACTTCTTCATTCCTTTTCTGCCAGTCTTCTTAGGTAATATTAGATACTTCTTCTTTAACTAGCTCTATTACCTTCTTATCAAATTATGGAAAATAATTTTCACGCCTGATGCTTTGTTTCAGTGTTCCCCAAATCAACTCGATGGAATTGAAAACACAAAAATATGGGGAAAGTCTCAGTATGGTGCATTTTGGTACATTTCAGCAATACTCTCAAGGGCATAAACTTTTTCAAATGTTTTTGTCTGTAGATCTTCAACTAGTTGGTTTTTGGTATAGTTATCTTCAAAATACAAATTGTTATCCATTAAAAAATTCTGTATTTCATCTTTCCTCGAATTTTTATTCGGTACTTTGATGAGCTGTCGCGAATGATAGAAAGCGTTGTCAAGAACTATTACACTATTCGCATCCCAATATGGGATCAATGTGTCTGAAAACCATTACTCAAAAATTTTAGCTTGCATGTTCTTGTGATAGTCAACATTGCAGTCCTCATGTTTTTCACATAATTTCAAAGAATTCGAAACCCCTCCTCCACTTCTTTTGCAATAAACAATGATTAGTCGCGATCCTCTGTTTGCAGGCATGTTAGGCGTACACATTTTCGAACCATCAGTCCACCCTTTCGTAACTGTGTCGTGAGTATCATATCAAGTTTCGTTCAAATAGAAAATTTGCCGTTGTTCTTGTCTATATTTAGTTATGTGTTCTGAGTATTTGTTACGCAATTCCACTATTCTTCTGCTTTCCATAACTGTTTGACGTTTGTTTATTATTTCAAATCTAAATCCTAGTTTCTTTATCCAATTCTGGAAAGTTTTGTCACAGCAGCTCACGTGATGACCGGAAGCATTCATTTTTTTCTTTATGATTTCAATTGTAGGTATCTCAATGCTTTTGTAACAGTCGTATATTGTTTTTTTCAATAATTTTTTCAGATAAATATCTGAAAGTTTTGATAATCCTATATAACATCGCATCTTGCGTTCATAAGATTTGTTTTGACTATTTTACGTACAGTTGAGAAAGGAATTTCGGTCAAGTGAACATTGATAACACGACTGCTATAACCATCCTATATATGAACTATATGAACTATATGACTCTTCAACCAATCATAAAACTCGGTTAGTTGAAATCATCCAATACGAACCACCAAGTCTACAGTCCACATGGACTAGTTGGCAGCGGCTGTATTTCTCTTTATTGATTTTTTTGGCCTTTGAGATCGCCGACAGCTTTAACTATGCACAATACCGGTGACTTCGACTGAAAAAGCGGTGAATGCAAGCACCATCTATGTGTTTGGCCATAAACTTTTCAGGCCATGTAGTGATTACAGTTGTAGCAGTTCTTTGTTCAAGAGGCTTTTCAAGAAACAACGCTGTTTAGAGCATAACAGAAAACTAGAAGAAAAACTAAGAGCTTTTTTCACATAATTGATGAGCTAGGGTAGATAGATATTAGTGGAACCAAGTCTTTGAAAACTCTAAAATCTATCTATCAATATCTCAATTGACTTCTTCACTTCATGTACAAATCCATAACTTTTTATGTCCATCATACCCTTCTGCAAAACATGAAAATCAATTCAAGTAAATGCTTATAATTGAAATCTTCCAGACCCGCTTCAGTGAAGCTTCTCATTCAAAAAAATAAACACTTCCAGACGTTGCTAAGTAGACAACTCCACAATTCTGAAAGAATTCATTACTTGGTATGATATTTCATCCCCCATTAAGGGCGGAGAAGTGTAGATATCGAAGTGAGTTCTCTTGTTTTTCTTCTTGATGAATTAGATTTCAAAACTCAACAAAGAATTGGTGGAAATAATGTATCGCTGACGAAAGTAATTATTGAATCACTGAGTGGTATCGATGGAGAACGTGTTGAAATAAAAATTAGGAGGTTGACTTTCAGAAAAGAGCAAAACCGCCCGAAAGTAGTATGTCAATATTCGTAGGAGGGGATTGTTGAAGTGCGGTGAAAATTCCATTTAGGTGGGAGACTTCAATGTCCACAATATAGAATGGCTCGAATATCAATGATGAACAAGTTCGTGAGTCTGAGGCTTCTCCAATAAGCAGCGGACTTACTCAGATTATAAATGAGCCAACAAGGATATCTGACCTAACAACCAATCCAGAAATTCACACAGTCACCCTAAGGTGAATTGATTATGGCTTTCGCGGCCAATATTTTCAGTGTTACGATCTTCTTTCGGGTTTGAAGACCGTCGTGGTTTGGAGTGGCTGGCTTCTTCAGAGGTCTATGATTCGTGATTTCTAGTTCGTAAGGTAGCCCGCCTTTGGCCGAAGTGTTATTACCTGTTACATTGCGTTGCACTGCTGCCACCTCAGCATCTTTCAGTATGAGATTCCAAATCTCATTAGGAGTTATCGCCTCCTCTTTTCTGTTGTAGTTTTCTAGAAATCCATAAACATACAGAAAATTAGTTAGTGCGTTGTTATTGATCGAAGTGTTATCACCAGATACATTACGTTGCACTGCTGCCACCTCAGCATCTTTGGCCGAAGTGTTATCACCTGGTACATGGTGTTGCACTGCTGCCACCTCAGCATCTTTCAGTATGGGATTCCAAATCTCATTAGGCGTTATCGCCTCCTCTTTTCTGTTGTAGTTTTCTAGAAATCTTAGCATCCCCAAGTAAGGGATTCGAAATCCGGTTAAGCGTTATCGCCTCCTCTTTTCTGTTGTAGTTTTCTAGAAATCCATAAACATACAGAAAACTAGTTGGTGCGTTGTTATTGGCCGAAGTGTTGTTACCTGTTACATGGTGTTGCACTGCTGCCACCTCAGCATCTTTCAGTATGGGATTCCAAATACGGTTAAGCGTTTTCGCCTCTTTTTTTCTGTTGAAAAACGTTGAAAAATGAAGCCGAATTTGAACAAAAACAAAAAAACGCATTTTCTTTGTTAGGCCCGGGACCTAGGCAATCAACAATTGATTCGTCCTGTAAATAAGGTAAAGTATTTGGGGGTAATTATTGATTCACATCTCAAATGGAACGAGCACATAAACTCCATTTGCAAAAAGCTGCGAAGTGTTCTACACAAATTCAAAACCTTAAGATAAATATTCTCCACTCCACCACCTTGAAAATTCTTCACTTCGCAGTAGTAGAAAGTAACTTACGCTATGGGAAAGCATGCTGGGGCGGGGCATTTCGAACACACCTTCATGCTCTTGGAGTACTACAAAACAAGTTTCTAAAATTAATACCTTCGAAAAGTAAACGGTCCCCTACAGACAATTTGCCTTGCAAAGCTGGTGTTTTTGACATTCGTCAACTCTTTCATTTCATTATCAAGTTATCTCCTACCGTCACACAATTATAACACCTGAAAAAAATCATCATGTAATGTACCACTGACAATCAGAGAAGAAGTCAGACGGTTTACTTTCAAAATTCTAATTTTCGATTTGTTGTGTAACATGGAACCGTATTCGATGCAAGAATTTTTTATGGCAACTTCATGACGATTGCAGAAAACAGAAGGCTAGATATTAGTATTAGCCATCAAAATTTTTATAATCCTAACAAATATAGACATTATATTTTGATATCTATATATTTTAGACAAATGCGTTTATATCTGTGACACTTATTTTATTTTTTTATTTTTTTTCAATATTGAATTATACTTAAATGTACTCCCACGAATTTATAGACCTGTGATAATATTTTGTTATCTTTTGTTGTATTTTAGTTATATATTTATACCTTACTGACTTAAGTTTTCATATGTTCAATTCGAAAACTTCAATAAATCTGTCTATCTATCTATCTGTACCACTACCACGCATCAACCATTGTATTAATTCATACTTACACATGTATATGTATATGTGTGCGAATGGTTTGTAAATATTTATTTTTAGATTTGGACAAGTTTGATACTCATCGGATTTTTTCATATTTTCGCAATTGTCAGTCAGTATGTTTATTATTTATAAGTTTTTTTGCATTCTATTTTCTCGAAACAAGTTTGAAAAACACTTATCAAGTACTCATTTATTCAACTTCATCTTCTCATTGCAATGTTCCGTATTCTTCTTTCCTACGTGAATAAATAATATTATCATTACTCACAGAATTCCATAAATCAGTTTAAAAGCACAATAAAACAACATACACTCAAATAGAGTCTTGAAACAGAGCAGACAGTACTTGTTTTGAAAAACACTTCCATTACTGACCTGTCTTGCTCAAACAATCCATTTCCTTACACCACCGACGTCTTAAAACAGCCGAATCACACACATTAAAGTGTTTCACTACATGTTTTCCTTTCTCACATCCAATTCCGTGTACATTTTCACGCATTTCTCAAATCTTCTGAAGTAAATCGTTGACAGCTGTCACTGACTGAAAGTACTTGTGCTTGGAGTTTCTGTTGACAACCGCATACGCCTCCTTGGATCTTATCGGATGACCACGATTCAGTTTCTGTCTTCAGGAAATTGAAAACGGTCTGGAAGATTCAGAATGGGGTTGATTGTTTGTTTTTCGGTGTGAGAGGAGTGTAATGTGTTGTTCAAAAAGTGAGGTGAAGGTTAAAATTTCACGGACTGTGTTCATAATTTCAACTGTAAAGCATGTTTAGTTTGTTGGTGAGAGATAAAAGTCACAAGTGTTCTGCTTGTTCGGCGATTTTCTGCATAAAAAAAAAGATTTGCATAAAATTTTTGCTGGGAAGATGGTTTCGCTGAAATTTCCTTCGAAGTTTTCGAGTCTACACCAGCTAAGAAAATTGGAATATGTGATGCCGTACTGCTGAGCCGATTTTTTGGTAACAATTCAATTGAAGCTCTTTTTGCAGCCTCTTCAATATCGTCAGGAACACACAATTCCTCACTATTGTTCTTCATTATGGATAATTGATAATGTGAAATTCAAACACGTTTATTACATACTTTCTGATTGCCGTTTCATTCGTTTTCAGTCATATCGAGTGGTCCAACGAAAAGTATGCACTTTGCTTTTCCCCTTTTCTTGTAACTTAACGCAAAAATGCTCGGACAGGTCAATTTTGCTTTTGAGGGGGACACATTTTAGTATTTTTCTACTTGTGCCTTCAACCCCCTAGCGAGGGTGAGTAACAACCCTAAAATTTTAAATGGAAAGTGGGGTCGAGTGATGTATCATTTAAAAGGGCACAAAATTATCTTTCCAATGATACCTAATTTGTTGTATTTACTTGAATAGTTATAAAAAAAGCAAGAACATTCACTCGATATTTTTGGTGTTAATGAAAATGCATTTTTATCGCTACTACATTCCTCAATTCCTCTCGTGCGTTTTTTTGGTTCAAATAACAACAGCAGATAAGTGTACAAAAAGAATTTAGGCAAACTTTCATTGATTCAGTTCGGTTGCTTTTGAAATTTACTGTAAAAATGGTTTATTCCATTCCTGAACGAGTTGAAATTGTTAAACTTTATTATCAACATAATAGTTGTGCTAGACTTACTGCTCGCCTCTTTAATAACAGTCATCCCGGGAAAAATGTGAATGATTCGTACGTTGCCAAGTTAGTCCAAAAGTTTGTCGATACCTGATCTGTCTGTAATGTGAAACACCAGCCACGGTAACCGATCAGAAATGAAGCAGTGGAAGTCGCTGTTTTGGGACATGTTGAATTGGATCATACTCAAAGTACCCGTCAGCTTGCTGCAGCCTCAGGTATCTCCCGTTCGTCCATAATACGGATGTTAAAAGCCTATAAATTTCATCCGTACAAAATTAAATTAGTACAGGAACTCAATGAAGATGATCCTGATAGAAGGCTGCAATTTTGTGAACAACTGAGCCAGCTACTAATTGATGATCCGCACCTATCATTCAATACGTGCTTTTCCGACGAGAGTACATTTTTTTCAATGGAGCTGTGAATAGGCATAATTGCCGTTACTGGGATGACAGTAACCCACACTTATTCCGAGAGGTCCATACCCAGTACCCTCAAAAAATCAATGTTTGGTGTGGCATATTAGGTAGTCATATGGTAGGGCCAATTTTTATTCCTGGGAATTTAACTGGTGAGGTCTACCTGAACATGCTTGAAGATACAATTGATCCTCTCATAACAGAAATAATTGAAAATGACCAAAATCATAATGATGGTCGGCTTCATTTCCAGCAAGATGGAACACCTCCTCACTATGTTGCTCCGGTAAAAGAGTTTTTAGATGACCGGTTTCCTGGACGGTGGATTGGAAGGAGAGGCCTCATCGAATGACCTGCCAGGTCACCTGATTCATCGCCTTTAGATTTTTTCCTTTGGGGACACTTAAAAAATAAATGTTTTGCTACGCAGCCCGAGTCCATAGAAGATCTTCGCCAACGAATTACAGCAGAGTGCAGAAGTAAGTTACAAAAAAAGGAGAAAAGCAAGGTGCATACTTTTCGTTGGACCACTCTGTATACTGGCACATTATTCCATATCAAAATTGTTATCCAAATTCAATCATATGGCCTAATGTTCAATTACATTCCATTCCATCCATTTATTGGTGGAATAATGCATATGTGTACTCATAATAATTACAGATCGTAATGAAAACCGGCACTGGCAGCCATAACATCACACACATCCATTAGCGTGACATTATTTCAAGTTCAGCAGTGAGAGGGGACATTCTAATCATACTTGTGAAACACTGGATGAAACAAACTTATGGTACACCCCCCTTTTTTCTGTATTCCTTCACAGGAGTGTTTTCACGGAGTTCGGAATATTGAAGATGCTAATAAAGAGGCGCTTCTTGATGTAATAAACAACATGTATGTAATTATATTCTTGAAAACCGCATACAACGATACCCCAGAGCTAATACCGGTGAGAACGTTCTTGAAGTGCTTGAAAAGATGATAGTCAAGTGGCGAGAGATCTGGAGAGTATGGTGGGTGAGGTTGAGGTTGAGGAGGGTGATAAATGTACCTTTACCATTCAAATTGACTCTCAGTTACAATTACTATTGATTTCTAAAGATGACATCTCAATTTCAATATTTTCCTCAAATGTTTTTACATTAAATTTGACGAAGAAATCTATATTTTTCAAACAATTTGCAAGAGAACACATATTGTATGGTGGAGAATTCAAACGTAGATTGGTTCAAGGTTTAGGCAAAACAAATATATCTTTCCTTCTATTGAAGTATGTACTGCAGTTCAGATACATTTTTGACAACGAGTGTAGATTATCTATTTTATTATGCAATATCTTATAGAAAAATAGTAGAAAAGCAATTTTTCTTCCAAATTCTGAGGTTGTAAATTTGAATTCATTCAGTGAGTTCGAAAGTATATTCACCATGTTTTTGTAATGTAGAAAGCTTAAGAATTTTTTCTGTACCTTTTCAACTTCATTTTTATGAACTGCATAATAGAGAGACTATACTATTGCACCATATTCTAGTATACTACGGACAAATGCATTATAAAATGTTAGTAATATGGATATTTTTGTGAATTTGAATGACTTCCTAATAATGAAGCCAAGCATTCTATACATTGCGTTCATATGTTGCTCAAAAGTGAGTTTTTCATCCAGCATAACTCCCAAATCTCTACATTCTGTCTTCTTTGCTAAATATTCATTTTTATCTTACAATGAAAATCATTCTGTAGTTTTTTTTCTAGTAATTGACATAATAAAGCATTTGTCAATTTTAAATGTGGGGCGATTTAGGCGACTTCATGGTATGGTTATTTATTTGACACGGTTCATTTATATCTATCAGCAGGAATGAACGAAAAACTTATGATTTTATTGAAGTTTATTCAAAACCTTACTTGCAGAATGAATTTCTCAAGGTGAGTGTTAATATCTACCACCACAGTTGGAAACATGACTGAGAATTTGCTAATCTGATGCATTCTCCGAACTTAACAATATTTTATGTCATAACAAGAACTTCCTTGATCAAACAAGGGGCATCTACCCTAGAATCCCGAGGATTGGGATCAAACACCCTGACAGTTTATGGTGTGAACACGACAGGTTGAGATAGCAAAGTGTATCTCCAGAATTACACGAACATCTAGAATAGCAGTGGTGAAAATCTTCTCCTATTTCATTTTATACGTCCAAAATATGGAACATTCCATAATACAACAGAGATTTTTTTCTCGTCGTAGTCGAGTGTAATGCAGAAAGTGGAATTCCACTTCATCGAAATTATGTCGGACTCAAATGACAGAAGTGATCATCAGTATACAAATATATTCTATAGGAAAGGGAATACTCTTCATTTGTGTATTTTGCAAGTGGTGGAGGAGGGAATTTCTCTCTAGAATAGTTTTGGATTGTAGATTTTTTGCGAGGAAGCTGTCGCTTTGCTATGAGTGATATGAAAAATTATGGAGAAAGCCGTAAAAAACCATATCCCTAAATATTTGGGAAACTTCAACAGCTTAAGCGATCATCAATACAGCTTTCGAGCTTCACTGCTTGAAAACTCTTTCATTTAGAGAACTGTGTGTATGTGGAATAAACTTCCTGAGAACTGAGGCATCGCTCTTAGAGAGCTTTGAGGATTCTTCTGTGGTGTTTGTGTTCTGTCCTTGAAAAAATATAAGCCAAATTTTGGTTCAGTGTGCTCCAAAAATTTGACAATACTGCCATTTTGAATTCAATACGGTGGACGTGACAAATTAGAAATTTATGAGAGGTTTGATAAGAGGAAGACGATAAGCAAAGTTTTGAAGTAAGAATTCATTGTGATATTTTCATTGGGCAGTCCACGAAACATCTGTTTTGCTACATAATAGTTTCCTTAAACGTTTCCATTTTGACTGAATTCTTTCTGATTAGTTCATTATTTGGACATCAAGAAAATTTTCCCCCAACTTCAAAACTTTCTTTTCCAAATGTGATACTTCATAGCCGTGGTTGAACTCACGGCCTCTACCAGAAGATGGTTTGCAAATATGGAATTTGTATAGACATTCAAGAAACAACTTCCATGATCTTTAATTCTTTTGGAAGAGGTTCTCACCGTTTGGCCAATATAACGTTTTCGGCAAGAATCACAAGTCAACTTATGATCTCCTGATGTGCCTGACACAGAAATTGTTCCCTTTATTGTTCTCAATAAATTTGCTTTGCTTATTATTCGCCCGGTAGGTCACTTCCAAGCCCGTCTTTTACAAAAAACGAGCGATGTTACTGGTTGGTTCACTAAAGTAAGTCAATGTTTCATAACGATCATTAATATTTTTTGAAGTGATACCTTGTTATGTTGTTGACAGTAACTCATTGAGCAGATTTCTCTCCGTTATACTTGTTCCATCTTCAGGTTAGATGTGCAGAAAAGTTGATCATATGAAACCATCACTCCCTCTTACT